CAACTCGACAAGTGAGATAAAAACCTGCCGTTTGAACTTGAAAGACTTAGCACAGTCTGCCCCTGAGCACTGGGCCCTAATGTAAAGTAGTTTTCCACGATCCCCCAAAATGGGCTTAAAAATTTCCACATGCAAACCCCCCCCTGTTTCCAAGTCAGTAGTGTGAAAATAGACAGGGCTGGAATGACATGCCATAGTTTTTCAGTGAGAAACTGCGCCCCGTTAATATCCCCCACAGCAGTGAGGAAGATGAAATATCCGGGACACAGAAAACCACTCAGGAAATACAATCCTCCCCTTTATGAATCCAGAAGGGGAAAAAAAGGGACACACCCTTTTCAGCAATAATCTCAAAAACCAATTCGTAGCAGCTAAAAACCCCAAAATTCCCCGAAATAATGGGGGGTTTTAAAATTTGGCAAATTAAAAATTAAAAAAAAACTTTAAACCCCTATTCCTTGAAGTCGAACCACAGTCACAACCTTTACATCATCCTTCTGAATGAAACCCCAGCGAGACAGACAAACATTTAAAAACACGTTTACCCCTTTCTGTCGAGAAATGGAGAAAAGGGCCTTTTTGTGGAGTGGATCCCAGGGGAATCCCAGGAAAATGCTTTCCCTAACCTCCAAGGAAAAACAGGATTATAGAACAGAATTTACGACTTTTAATGGTCAGTTTAAAATTGGAAAACTAAATATTTTTCCCCCTAGGGCCAGCCATTTATAGTACCCCGTAGACATATTCCCAAAAGTCATGGCAGGAATTGTAATGGTCATCACCCCACACTCTTCAAACCCCGCTGCGCCGGGGCCCTCCGCTGGGTACCCAAAAAAAACACAACTAAAATTTTAAAATAAAACCCCAAGAAAAACTATGATTCCAAGGCCCATTTTTTTAAGTCAAAATTAGGTTCTCATACGGGGGACATCTGATTATCTCAACCCAAAAGGATTGTGACCTTTTACCGCTGCAGAGTCTCCCCTGATGGAAATTTGGGGGGCTGACCCCTCCTGTTTTAATAAAAACAACAAACATCGCCATTTAGAATTTCCAAACTCCGGGCACCTATCCCCTTTAGGGGCTACTTACGCAATGAAACCCTTTCTGTTTCCCCTTGAGAAAACCCGCCTTTAAATTGGGAATTGCGAGGGATCAGTTCCTTCCACAAAACAATTTTAGAGGCCATTTATGCAAGTTGCCAAAAATTAAAAACATGAAAAATCAAAAAACAATTAAAAAACCCCCAGGGAAAATAGGGACTGCATGAAAAAATTTACGCAGTGTGTAGAAAAACACCTCAAACGAGAAAAGCCCACAAAGGGGTTTTACTGGGGAGGTTGAAAGAGAATTTAAAACCCCCCAAAAAACCCCAAAAACAAAAATTGTTTAAGGAAATATCTTGTTCTTTTAAGCTAATCAATACAAACGTCATCCCGAAAAGTTTTTGGCCCGCCCGTTATCTAAAACATTCCTTTTACCGACGACGATGATGAGGAAATTGGGTATCAAACTTGATAAACCCCCCAAATTTTGTGTGAGAAAATTTTTTTCACCTTTAAAGGAGTAGATAGTTTAAAAAATTAAAACCCTTACAAGTGGGGTTAAAGAATTTTAAAAGATGACCCGCAGAGCTGAAAACCCCCTCCAATAACCCCTTTTAAATTTATACTCTAAATTTTTGAAGATGGGAAAATCCCCTTAAAAAAAACCAATCACACTCACAGGTTGGGGTCAATTTAAAGGAGAAAGGTAAAAAAAAGTCCTGGGGATCTCCCGGTATAAAAATTAAAAAAGTTAAAAATTCTTACCCCGAAACTGCAAAAATGTCTTGGGAAAATTTTCTTTAAAGCCATCTTGGCCCGGGGCACTTTCCAGTGGGTCTTAAAGACAGCAAGGATGATATTTATTGCAAAACCCAAAAAAGGGCAAACGTAAAATTTTAACTATTTACTTGAAGTCACAGGGTAAATTTCCCTTTAAAAAATCATTTCCCCAAAAGGGTTAAACTACTACGTGGAATACAATACCTCTTCCCCTGAAAAACAAATTTGGGGTTCGGAACCCCCAGAGGAAACCCAAAAACGCATAAAAATTTATCTTTGATGTGAACAACCTGAGGTAACAGAGCAAACTTGCCTTAATTGCAACCAGGGATGTACACATAGTTTTTGACAGCTTGTGGTACGAATGACTCATTTAAACTCGTAGACCTTCCTGACCATAACTGGAATTTTCTCAGATTCATATATAACTTCATATCAAAAAGACGATTCATCCCTACCTTTAATGGCAAGTTAGCAGAGCCTTTCACACCGACAGCTGGAGTGCCTTGGCCCGATACTATTCAAGATACAGTGGAACCTCGGTACTCGAACTTAATTCGTTCCAATAGGCTGTTCGAGTGTCAATCTCTTCAAATACAGATCAAATTTTTCCCATAAGGAATAATGTACAGTAAATTCATCCGTTTCAGACCCCATAAATACACGGTGTATTTTCAAATGGTATTTATGATTGTATTCTCGTATTCTCGTTTTTTTGGTTTCATTTGATAGAATGAAAGATAAAGATGTATTACAGAAATAGAGATGAATTTAATTTACATAATTTACAGACTAACAGTACCTTGAAATTGAGCTCAGATTAGCCGAAAAGTTAAATTTTTGCTGATGTTCAAGAGTAAACAAATTACGTCACACGTCACATACACATCATGCGCTGATATTATTTATACCATTTTTTTAATAATGCAGTAGTCTGCATAATAGTAAATCTTTTGTTTTTTGTGTGAATAAAAATTTTAAACGGAAAGTAAGCGTAATATAAGAGTGGCTCGAAGTGGGAGGAGCTATAGGAGAGAGAGGGAGGGGCCAGCAGAAGGAGCATCCATTATCTGATGAGTCGCCTTGATGGCCGGATACGTGAATACTGTGTTGTGTAATTTTGCTGCTATTGATAATAAAGATTATCTATCTATCACATTTATTCCAACTTGATATCAGAAGCATGATAGATAACCTAGAAACACAATAAAGATGCCCAAATTAATAATTAAAGGCATATTGTATGGACTGAGCAACAGCTGCGGAGAGACTGACGCACATGTTCTGGCATTTCATGCTTATTTGGTCGTATGCCTAACAAACAGTCGACAACTGAGTGATTTCTTTTTACGGAACAAAGCGTTCGAGTACCGAATTGTTCGAGTACGGAACCGTTCGAGTACTAAGGTTCCACTGTATGTGTAAACAATCTCCCTCAACCAGAGCTCAATGATATTATAATCACCAAATTTGCTGATGATGTTATCCACATAGTATCATCCACCCCCATAATGGGAAAATATAAGCATGCGAGGGTAATAAAAAAAATGAATATGGAACTGCAAAGAACAGCAAACTGGGAGAATAAATGGAGAATAACGACCAACCCAAAGTCCTCATCATCACCATCGGATGTTTTTCAACAACTATAGAAGACAAGGGGTGTATCTCCATCAGAGGTACACCTGTTGCTATCAGAAACCCTAACAAAATCCTGGGATATGAAATAGGCAGATTATTCCGCTCCACATCTCACATCTCTAAAAAGGTGAACTTAGTCAAAGTCCACCTCAGCAATATATACAGGTTTAATCAAGCCCTTTTTCACATCAAGAAACACCTATGCAAGATGATAATAAAACCTATGCCAGAATATCCTTGTGTACCCATGTCATTAACAACTAAAACCAACATATTACAGCTATAAAGAGCTCAGAAGAGAGCAATCTGCTTCGTCACAGACATTCATTGCATCTATCCAACAGGAGATAGATGCAATAAATGTAAGGCTTGATAAACTAAAAAACAGCTATATGACATTCAAGAACTCTATATACCAGACAGAGAAAACCCTCACCAGCCAGCAAATACCACCGGCTACATCACCAACACACCTCTCAACAAAACCCAAAGAAAGAGTGTGACGATTCATCCATAAGAATAATTTCCAGAGACCAATAATCCTGAGTTACCTCTCAGAAGATATGGATGAATGGGTAACACCAGAACCCTTTTATGTCCAGTAAGAACAAAACCACCCCCATTTATGGAGACTTCCCTTTTAACTTATTAACTATTACATCTACCCATGTAACATCTGGAAACTTACTACGGCAGGATGCCACCTCTGAAGTAGCTGAGCTGGCCAGTGTCTCTGGGTAGCAATCGATCTACATACATCAATCAGTCGTCTTGTTATTGCCATTTCCAGCCTACTTCCTGCAATCGTAAAAAGGTAATTGCAAACAGCATACCTCCTGCCAACTCAGCATCATGCAGTTATACATTTGTTATAACTGTGTGAAACAGATGGGTAAGTGTTATCCCCATTAAATGAAATTGATTTCATTAATGACACTACACACACACATTTGTATTACAATGCACCTTTATCTCACCTAATCTACACCCACCCACCCTTTTCCCACTTTGCTATCCTTTAGACTTGCATGACCAATGCTCTGGTCATTCAAGTCTAAAGACTTCTTCATTGTCGTATGTACTGGTGATAATGAAGCATCCAAACTCATGGACGACACCGCAGTTAAGACCGACAATTTAGCATATCTCTTTCTCCTTTCCCGCTGATGAAACGTTCTGTTTTTGTAAAACAGCTGGACACGATCCTCACATCCTTATCACCTGTTGACCTGAAGACTTCTGTCGAGGAACAAAACACTTGAGTCTCGGTATACACCAACACCAGAATCCCTAACGCCTCTTCAGTGATCAAAATCATCTTTTCAAACATCGCTATGAGTAACCAAGTGCTCTCTGACTGACTAGCCATCTCATACTACCATATTCATTCACGTCATATAGAACCAGAATATTTTGTGCATGTCTCACCTTTCACTCAACGAACCACTGTCCCATTACAGATAAGAAATTTTGTTCCAACTGTGGGAAAGGTCACGGCTTCAAAGCCTGCACCACCACTAATACCACTCCAACATGCCTAAACTGCAAGGGTACTCATCATATCTCTGCAGCCAAATACCCACTAAGAAAAAAAGTGCAGTCTTAGAAAATCAAGGAAGAAGCTAAGAAAAGCCGCCTCAAAGCGCCGACATAAGCCGCCATAACAAAACTCCGGTCTGACACCACTAGAATTCTTCAAGCTACACAACAGTCCTCTCTACCCACCAACTCTCTCTTCACTTCCGAGCGCTGCTCCATCCAAGGTGCTGTATTGCATGGTGTATGCAAACCTTGCAAATGCAGCCAACCCAGGCACTTTCAACACCACCATGTAGACGAATGGTTCAGAGAACCATTCATCTACAAACCTGTCAGACACTGCAACTTCTTGGGATCTTAATACTTGGGAATTCTTCGCTTGCCTAATTCTTGGGCACGACCTACTTCCACATTGAACAAATGTGACACCACCTATGACTGCTGCACCTCTCCTGCCATACGGTTTATAAGCTGCTTCTCCGCTGATATGCCGTATTCTATTCAAGATTGATGGACTGACCACATCGACTCAAGGCTGAGGGACTGATTACCTCATTCTCCTCCTGTTCTTCAAGATTCTCCTTTGTATAGACTGATGAAGCCACTGTGTGGCGAAACGTTTCCTCAATAAATATACCCAAGAGTTGCACATGTGTCTAATTTATCAACAGCACCATAAACGAACTATTCCGTCTTAACAACATGCCTTACTTCGTCTTCCATTTCCTCATGTCATTTTTAGAAATTTAATCTTCTAATAAAATTATTGATATAGAATTTTCTTATTCTCACCAGAACAGACAATAAATTGAAAAACAAATAAATTGACATAACAAACAGTTATCATTACTTGCATATAACTGTTAACTTAACATCACTGTATTACTGTGTAATTCGGTTCCGATATATTTCAAGCCTAATGAAAACGGTATAGATTCGTCCAACCAAATAAAAGCAACATGAATATTTCAAAGCAATGATAGCAGAATAGATGGAAATAATATATACTTTTTTTTCCTTTTGAACTTTGTGGTTATACTCATTACAAATAGGTTTTTCCAGTAACTATCTATGCATTACTGTTTACTGAATGAATATAAATTAGCTAGTATTATGCACTTCCTGCCCACTCCATGGATGGTAGTAAACAAAGTGAACAATTTATATAATAAGTTCAAAGACTGGGACCTGCTAAGGAGATTTAAGCAGTAATGAATTACTTACATAATTAATGAAATCAGGAACAGTAGTAACGGGTTGGTTACAAAATGAACAAAGTCAAATACTGTACAAACTATACTGAAGCATATTTGGTACTGTACTTAAGATGTTTCTCTTTCAGACCTATGAGTCTGAAGCTGATGCAAGCAAGACGCAGAATGGAGGATCACATATTTCGTATTGGATTTGGAAAAGGCAAGAAGAAGGATTATAGCTGTGATGAGACTCCAGGTAACACTAGTAGACTAATTCATTCCAAGGTGCCTTAGGAATACCTTTCACTCTCTTTGATCTCACCCGATTGCATCCCATTTCCCTGGCACTGAATGCCTTATTAAGGTTAAGTGTTTTATCATGATAATTCGAATAATGAAAATAACGATTATAATTATTATTATCGTTTATAGGGAAATTACACACACACACACACACACACACACACACACACACACACACACACACACACACACACCTGGAGCCACATGGGGGACCAGAAACATGGAGGGCTAAGATGATGGTGGTACTACTGGAGATCTTCATGCATCAACACGTTACGGACACTACCAGAGAGAGATATGATAAAACAGGAAGACTGGACCTAATATTCACCTTGAGTAGCTCGACGTTGAGGCCATCACATATGAAAAGCCCCTCGGAGCTAGCGTTCACGTGGTCCTAAGCTTTCGTATATATTGTATAGTTACAAGTGGAGAGGGAAGCAGGACGAGTAGGAAAGGAGAGCCAAAGTACAAAAGAGGGCACTACATTGGCATGAGAAATTCCTGCATGAGATTCAGCAGGAAAGAATACTGGTGGAAAAATTAGTAATTGAAATGCAAGGAGGCAGAGGAGAGGTTCGTACCCAACGGCAACAGAAACAATGAGAACGAGCCCTTGGTTTCACCCAAAGTGTAGAGAGGCCAAACCCAAGTGCGATAGAGAAGACGAAGGACCGGAAAATATGGAGATTCGTCCATGAGCAAGAAACGAATATGCAAGACACGGAGGGGACCAGCGGCAATAGGAAAACGACATAGTATTTTAGCCAATGCTGAACCAACGCTTTTGTTCAACAACATCGGGGGGAAAACAACACTAAAGGGCCCGGTAATCGGGTCTGACAAAGGGAAGCAGGGAGATCACGAGAACATGGAGAAGTATTAAAGGGGCAGCACAAGTTTTTATGAAGTTTTTCTGCGGAGACAGAAAGGGCCCCCAAACCCCGGAATTGTGGGGTGCATCAACATGCTGGATATAATACATAAAACAGAGTGGAGGTGGGTGGGCCCGGGAAAACATCTCTCCATGGACCCTGAGAGAGGGACAGAGGTGCTGTGTGTCCCATACAACAAACCTTCACCTTTTTATGGAAAAACAGGGCAACTATCGAGGTGGGAAGCAGAAAATGAGCTCTAATATTTAAAAAAGGAGAGGGGGACGGGCGATTAAACCTCGGGCCCATGTCACTGACTTATACGTATACCCCCCCAAAGCCAGGAGACAAAAGGGAACACAAAGAAAAAAATAAACTTATAAACAAAACCGCACGTTTTAGGAAAAAAGGAAATCTTGTGTCACAAACCTATGGAGTTTTACGCCCAAGAACAAAAGACAAGAGTGAGAGAAGTGGGGTTTTAAAATGCATTTTCTTGGACGTAAAGGCTTTCGCGCAGTTCCACACCGAGTTTAGTCAAAAGTTGAGGAGCAGGCGGGAAAAACAGGAAAGGGCACTCAAGGATAAAAAAATGCGGGAAGGAAAACAGCGGTCATGGTGGCGACGAGGTGTCGAATGAGCCCCTGTGACAAGCGTGTTCCAGGGGGGTCAGCCCGGGGCCGGTCGTTTCTGGTATAAGTGAAAATATTCAGAAGCTATGGTTTCAAAAGTGCTCCTGTTGCAGATGATTGAAACAATACAAAAATTTCAAACGGATGAGGTTGAAGGATCTGGAAGGCTAAGGCCTGGTCAAAAACTGGCTCCTGGCGTTCAACCCCCCCAAGTGTAGTCTTGAGACGGGGGGAAGGGAAAAGAAGACCGCGCGTGAAAAGTCCAGGGGGCCAGAACTAAAAACCTCATCAGGGGAAAAGGATCTTGGGGGGAGTTTCCCCGGGCAATCCCTGAGGCACACTCAACCAAATAATTGTGCAGCATACGGGCGTCTAGAAAACCAAGAAGAGACTCCAAATTCTCAATAAGGAACGTCGGGCCTGTACTTTGGCCTATTTTGAAGTATCACCCCAGTTTGGAACCCACCCCTACCCAAGCATAGGGAAATTAGGGGAAAGTACAAAGGGTTTTCAAAAACTAGTCCCGAAGAAAAAAGGCTTCCTAAGAGGATGGGTTTTAAGAGAAATCGACCTGACGAACTGGAGGACAGGAAGATGGGGTTTTAATGATAACGACATAATAAATATGAGTTGACTGGGGGGACGGGACAAATTTTCCAGGGGTGGACAGCAAAAAAGGGTCACAAATGGAATTTTGAAGACTCAGGGAATGAAAAGGGATGTTGGGAAGTATTTTTTCAGCCCCCCCCAAGTTGTCAGGAAGTGGAGAGCCGGGGAAGTGATATAGTGGGCAGGCCCCCACATGCGTTAAGAAGATCATGATAAAACTCACGGGCGGAAGATGTTTATACGACCATGAAGAGGGGGGGCCAGGAGCGTGACTCGACCCCTGAAACCCAAAACTGGTGAGTACACACACACACACCCAACACAAATACACACACACACACACACACACACACACACACACACCCCACACCCACACAAACACACACACAACACACACACACACCACAATTGGGTTAGGGTGTGATCAAAATTATTAACAAATAAATATGTTAGTTGGTTATAACACATGTAGTGAAAAGGCATGAAAGAGTGTTTAAGAAAATACTAAAGAAAAAAAAATTAGTCAATCCCCAGCTGTTGGTGTTGTAAATGTAGCTAACACATCAGACTTGTTTGCCAAAATACTGAAACAAAGAAAAAAGGGGAAAAACCCAAGTTTTAAAAAAGAAAAAGAAAAAAAAAACTTGAATGATGATGAAGTTCCTGAAGGAGTTACAAAATTAAAGGGTTGAACAGCCGACCAGGGGAACCTCCATGTTGTGCAACGATCACTTCCCTTTTTGGGGGTTAATTTTTTGGTTTAGTGTCTAAGCTCGTGTCTCCCCGCGGGTTGTATGCAACCTCTTCCTCTCCCTTTTCAGTACCAGGAGATGATAGGGGTTGAAAATTTTATCTAAATATCGCCAGGAAAAACTCCAGAAGAGTTGTGTACCCTAGTGACCCCCCCCTCTTTTGTGCCTAGGCCCCCCCCTGACGACAAGCAGTAAAAAGTATGCACATACAAACACACGTGTGCCCCCGTAATTATTATTATAATAAAACTTAGTTATTTTTTAAAAGAATTGAGTGAAAAAAAATAACCTTAACTTCAAAAAGTAAAGTAACCTAGTGGCGAAGATTGGGCCGGGGGGAAATACCGGTGAACCCAAAAACAATAAAGACTGGGGCCCGGGGGAGTACCGGTGAACAACACAATAAAAATCGGGCCCGGGAGAGTACCGGGGAAACCAACAACAACAAAATCGGGCCGGGAGAGTACCCGTGAACCCAAAAACAATAACAGATAGTGTTGCGAACCCCCCCCTCTTTTTAAAGAAAGACAAGCTAGTAAAAAACCCCACACACACACAAACAATGACAAAAACACAAGTGTACACAATTAATATTATATAGTATAATTAGTGTATATTAAAAAAAGGGAAATTTATTTTGAAAAAAAAATTTTTTTTGATCTTCAAAAAAAATAGGTAGCCCAGTGGGCGCACGAACACCCTTTACCCACACACACCCACACACCCCACACACCCCACACACCCCCACACACACCCACACACACCCCCACACCACCACACACATTCACACACACCCCACACCCCCAACCCCCCCCCAACCCCACATTGCCAGACAACACTACACTCCCCCCCCCCCCACCGACATCTCCTTTCCCTGATCCCTCCCCCCCCTCTTTTTTCCCCCCCTTCCCCCCCTCCCTCTCCACTCACCCACTTGCTTTACTCCCTTCCCAATACCCCTTCCCCCTAATCTCCCACATAGCCACAGTTCCTCCCCTCCTCCCCCCCCACACTCTGCTAACAATATAACCTAACATACAGAAATTTAAAAGGTTTTTCCCCCCTGAGGCAATCAGGATTTAAAAACAAAAAGGGTTGCCGGAGCAACAAGGGAAAAAAAGGGAAGGGGAGGAAAAGCAAAGGGGAAAATTGGGCACAAGGTCACAAAAAAGGGGAAAATGAAAGGGAAAGAAAAAAGAAGAAAATTAGCAGGGAATGAAGAGAGGATAGACATGGAAAGCAAGAAGTGGGGAGGTTTCAAGGCAAAGCAGCAGAGGCCCCGGATACGGTTTTGAAAGGAACTGAAAAAAACGAAACCCAAAAAACAAAGAACATTTTTTGGGGTTTACAACAGAGATGCACCCAGTCACAAATAAGGGGACTGTGGGGGAAAAAGGGGCAAAACAGCATGTAGAAGCTCAATCGTGGGAATTTTTAAAAGAAAGACCAAGCTAAGTGGAGGCCCCAAAAGACCCAGCAGAGCCCAGGGGAAACCGAGAAGGGAAAATGATAGGCCCCTGGCCCAAGTACATTAGCTAGTGAAAAAGAAAAAAGGAAAGCTCAATGGGGAAAACAAATTGAATGAGAGGATACACAGGATATAGTGGGGAAGAAAGGGATGGTCAGTCTTTGTGTATGGGTCCCGTAAGTTGAAGGGGAAACATATGAAGCAAGAAAAAAGGGGGAAAAAAAGCAAATGAAAGCTCATAAAACAATAGGACGACATACCCCCCCAGGGTGGGAAAAAGACCTTCAAGGCAGAAACGACTCGGAACAGGATCCTGCAGGGGAAAGCATGATTTAAGGGGCATGCGGCTACAGGAAGATGTATCTTGACCGCGACAGAACCAAGAAGAAAGGGAGAAACTGAGGAGATGTTCAGAGGCAAAAGGGGGAAAGGAGGGGATGGGAGACAGACAAGAGACACCAGACCCCGGAAGAAAATCAATACAGCCCCCTCACAATTCCTATAGAACCCCCAACAGGGCAACCCCGTGCAACCAAAACTCTAAACCAAAAAAAACCCCTGCCCTATGCAGTGCCCCCCCTACTGCATTACAAGCTCCACCCCCAAGCAAACCCCCC